GAACATGTTAAAAGAACTCTTCCAGTTTGAATTTCAAGTAAAACTCTTTCAGCCTCAAGTTAAAACAAATTACAGCCAGTTTGTTGGGAAAGGAGTTCATTTAATAGAACACCTGTCACATCCAGACAACCAACAACTTGATTATCTAAATAATTATATTATTGATCAGCAGTTCCTTTGTCCTGTCTGTGCCTGGTTGATGAGAAATTCCCACTTATTTTTCCTTTTTTATATGTGTTCTTATTTGAATCTTTTGGAGTCAGGTGAATCCAAATATATGTAGTACAGTTTGTGCTTTTGGACTCCGTAACTCGCACATAAATTGATCTGCATTAGCTATTGATGTCTCTCATTGTTGGCTAATTTAGATATTTGATTTTAGTATTAAACTCAGCAATGCAAATGGTAACTTAATAAACACAAGAAGGAAAATAAATTACTTCATTCCTTGTTTCAGGTATAAACACACAAAACCACCTCTATCATTTCGGTATTTCGCTTGCCTCATTTTTTGGTTTTCAACATCAGAATTTGAGAGGGTAAGGCTCAACCATTTATGCCAGAAAAAAACAAGTCACAGGCCTGCACTTTTGTACTCCCAGAGTTTGAATTGGATCATTATACATTTATCTTTGCTCTTGCAACCTCTCATACTGAACAGGAATCATGTTACATCTATGTAAAAATTCAACACTATTCAAATTCTTTTAGAACAATCTATGATTTTATTCAAATTCAATCTAAAAGCTTATGTTCAGTATATCTGTACTAAAAACCTGTGCTATAAAAATAGAGGCATAATTTTATTTCTTTTTTTTTTTACTAGATAATCTACTAGGTGCTGTTATGTTTTAGAGCTTTGATATTTTGGTTACGGTGATCTAAAAAATGTTACCCATTTAGTATCTTACCCTTACCAAAACAAGATTATGCCCACACAGATTGTGCAGTGTTCATTTCTGGAGAAATTTGGGCACTGTCCTGGGTAGCCTATACATGCCTGAACTCAGTGATCTGAAGGGTCCTTTCCCCAACAATTCTGTGATTCTGTTCACTAAAATAATCTGAAGACAAGAGAGTTTATATTCCTATCATACTATTCACTTGACATAAAGAGTGAGACTCTTCTTTTCTGTGTAACGGATCTACTTTAAAATGTAAGTTAAAAAATTAAAAATGGATCCAGCAACGACTCCATAATCAGAGTCTTTTTGATAAGAGGACTGTGTCCTTTTTGTCATCACACTGATTGTAATAAAATCTGTCACAGAGAAAAAGGCCATGCTCATATCTCCAGTCGGTGATAACAACTGATGATGTGATCCAGAGGTAGAAAACTCCACTTGCTATTTCTGCATCATTTTTGACCTTGCAATTGCTACCAAAAAAAAAAAAAAGTCAGAACAAATTACGCTGATGAGCATAAGAGATCAATAAGTTGAAAGTCAGTAGAGTAAAAAGAATTGAAACATGAAAACCTGGTCAAAAACTGACTAGTACATCAGCATATCTGTAAGACACGCCACGAGCAAGATATTCAGAAAGCCTCTGTGTCCCTGTCTTTACTGCACACCATGGCTGAGCACCTGGTGGTTGGAAATGCGTGGAAATAATGGCAGTGCCTTCTGAGTCTTCTAACAATGCAGTTACAGTCTCAATAGACAAAGAATTAAATGAAGTTCCCTAGTCTACTGTGTTTAACGTGGGGCCAACCTGAAGATCTGTCCTCTTATTTTCTGTCTATCAAAAGGCCTCCTTTACTTGTTTGTGAAAGCATATTGCAGAGGATGTGTTTATAAAAAATTAACTGTAAGTATATGCAATTGCACTGATTGGTTCCTTTAACCCATTTTAAAAATACGTGTTTTTAACAAAAAAATGGAGGGTTAGTTTCTGTGGAACAAATTTTCCGTTATCAGCACTGTCCAGGCATTCTGACATGCTGGAATTTGGGAGCTCAGCTCTTACTGCAGCCATCAACACCTCAAGACATTTGGCTGGCATCGTGGTTGTGCCAGGAAAGACATCAGTGCAAGTCCCTGTGCCACAGGGGCCTTGCTCGTGTTCACCAGAGTCTCCCCTGCAGAGCATCAACAGCTTGTATCGATGCAGAGCAGGTACAGGGAGTAGATGTATTAGTCAGCCACCAATGAAGTGGCCAGATGCTGATAGTGAGCATCCTCAGAAACAGGGCAACGTTCACACTGAACTGATACCCTGCAAGGCTGCTGAAATGCCTGTGAACTGCTCAGCCTTGCCTGCAGCGCTTGCCTGCACTCGGGTTCGGAGTTGCAGTTTAGAGTTAACATCAGGTAGTGCTCTGGAAAACACATTGCTCTAATTCTTGTGAAAACAGAGTGAATTGAGAAGCAGCTGGATTTTTTGAGGAACTCTTTCTGTGCTGCAGATCTCATTTTTTCTAAAGACAAACAAGTAAGGACTTACCCTGCTCTCGTATTACAAAGCAGAGGAAATCGCTGGCATCAGATATGAGTGCTGCTACCATATGAAAATACAGATAAACAGGCTTAGAAAAACTGAGACATCTGGAAAGATGGAGTAAAAATTATACAGAAAATACAGTATGTAACTACATATGGCTAATGGAAAAGCAGCTCCAGGATGCAGCCAAAAATCTCTTCACTTGGGACTGCACTCACCCCAGCTATTCACACTGGATCTGCCCAATGGTTGAAAATTGCCAAGCAGGGGTGGAGGATATGAAAATTACTGTGCAGTGAAAAGTAATAGCTTAGAGCACTGCCCTTTAGTGTGCTCTATAGAAGACAGAGACATGATGGTCCCTTTTTCGCCCACAGAACCAAAAACTTCTTTCTGACACATAGGAGTCAGGAAGGAGTAAAACCAAGATAATGAAAAAACAACCCCCCTCTTATGCTGTGGCTTGGCAAGTTACCTGAACTATTTACTACCCAACTTCTCTGGAAGTAAGCTGTGAGATAAGGGTGTTACATTATCAAATGCAGAAGTATGTTATTAAAGCCCTCCAAACCCTCCAAATGAAAAGCAGTTCATGCTGTCCTCATGTATTTTTTTCTCATGATTTCAGTTCTTTAGAAAACTGTCCTTTGCTAAGGTCATCTTCAAGATTATGGGACTGTTGGTCTGCCTTTCAAGTTTTTCCTCACATTCACACATCCTTGGCATTGGGCAGTCTCCAGTTCTCACTTTGTAATCCTCTGGCTGGTTCTGACAACTCCCAATTTCTCATTTCTTTCAATGCTGGATCATTTACTTGAATCAGTTCTTTGAAAAAAGAGGCCTTTTTGCAGACCTCTGATGTGTTTCTTCCTTCTTCTCCAGGGAATCCAAGACAAATTGCTTTATTCTGAAGGTCTTCTTTCACTACTGCACCCTAGATCCTTGGCTTTTTAATCAAACAGAGAGGTTGTGCTCTGCCTCCACTGCCAGACTTGTTTACCAATAAATATTCAAAAATTATCAAGAAAGACCATTCTACTTTCTCCCAAATTGCCTTTTATGCATGGGAGGAATTTCTTTAATTAATTTCAGCTCTAAAACTCTTTTCTGTAATTCCAAACAGCTGCTGTGCTGTCCCCACTCTTAATGAGCTTTGTCTTCAGATGACTTGGAGAAGGACAGAAAGGGCCGTGCTGTCTAAAATTGTTTGAAATAGGTTTTCAGCATGCAAAATAAACTGGACAGCTCCCATGTGAAATGGATTGTAGTGTCACTCCCCCCTCTGAGGAAATTTAATCTGTCTGGCTAGTGAGAATGAGACTCACAGCAGGGACAGAAGGTATTGACTTTTCCACTTTTTTTAAAAAAAAAATATTCTTTTTTTTTCCCCTTCAAATGGACTGGGGCTGTTTCATCTGAATTGTCATTCTTAAATAATTGCCTTGGTAGAAGCAGTACATTTCAACCTCATGCCATCTTTTGAAAATTTAGACTAACTGTTGGCTTAGAGAGATGCAGCCTGACATTCTGAACCTACACACAGTGTGAAAAATTGCTTTGATCAGCTTGTGCTTATGATTTAAGGCAGTAAAATAGAATTCTCACTAATTGTGTTTAAGGCATGATGTATTGTGTAATCCACAGAGAGACTCGTTTCAAAAACACTGTAACCATAAAAACAGCTGTTCCACTGAGTCATTTTCCCAATGTGCAACTTAAAACAAAGCAAAACAGAGCAAAAACCTGTCCCAGTTCTAACTTAGTTGTGTTGATGGAGTAGGATAATGCTGGAAATGTGGGGAAAAACAACAGAAAACTCATGTCCACATTCCTTTTTATACCAGAAGTTTGGAAACAGGAAAAAAGAGCCTTTGGAGTTTTAAAAAAAAACAAACAAAAAACCAAAAAAAAAAACAGAAAAATCTCAGTTTCTAGGAGATATTGGTATCCTAATTAAATTGTGAATTGCAAGGCATAGTCAAAATAATTTGCAAAGATGGCAATGAGTCTAAAATTAGAAAGAAAGGAATTAAAATAATAAAGATATACCAGTTGAATATCTAAAAAAATTCCGGTCATATATGTGCTTTTGTACATATTTTCATGGTGTTCAACTAGAATACAGTCTCTAGAAGAGAATGTAGTAAGATCTGGTAAAGCAGGTGGAGGAAAAAATTGCACTAGATAAAAGGCAAAAAAAAAGGCAAACCATACTGCAGGCACAGATCTTTCATCAGTAGAAAGTTGAGTGAGCAAGTGAATAACCCTTTAATAAATTTAGAATGACCTTTCAAACCACCCAGCTTTTAGAGGGAAAATATAAGCCAAGTTCTATCAAGGTAAGCCTTAAACTGAATTCCAAACAAATTTCCTTGGGGGGAGGGTGCGGGAGGTAGAACTTTTAATATGTTTGTATGTTATGACTGTTGCAGGGCCCAGAATTTAATTTTTGTGGATCTGCAGTCCAGAGATCTTTTACTTCCCATATTGATGCTTCGGAGATGCAGAGCTCCAGAGGGCACAGAGAAGTGACATGGCTCTGTTTTTCTTGTTTGCAGATATCTCAATAAGCTTGCTCTCCTTAGTTGTCACAGCCTGTGGTCTTGCTCTGTTTGGTGTCTCTCTGTTCGTCTCCTGGAAGCTGTGTTGGATCCCTTGGCGAGAGCGTGGTCTGCCATTTGGGAACAAAGACAACAAGCAGGAATCGCTGAACTACACAGACACAGAGACCAATGACCGTGACTACAGTGAGGATTATCTGGGTCAGCCTACAGCCTATCCAGAGTCCTCCATGAAGATCAGCCACACCTCCCCTGATATTCCGTTAGACACCCAGGCGGGAACGAAGGAGAACTGCGTCCACAATGCGCGAATGCATCGGCAGATCACTGAACCAACCTCTTCTGCTCGGTCAGTAACTCCAGTTTCTCTCTGATATTAATGAATACAGATACAGTCCAAAAAGGACAGCTTGATTATTCAATACGGTGATCTGATAAAAATGTATCGTCTACTCGCCACGTTCTTTTAAAGAAAAGAATCACACAAACCTTTTTCTTTGAGGTGCACAAACCTCGTAGGTTGAAAGGACAGGATCACAATCCTGTTCCACTCTTCTATAAACTACTGTCTCATTTGTGCTTCTCCCTCAGAAGCTGGATAACATAGAGCACTATGTGTCTCTTAAAAGCACCGGAACAGCCTAGATTTAGCTTGCAAAGCATATTCATTTGCACTTAGCACTGATGCTGAGCACTCAGTAATATCTCCTCAAAGATTTTTAAAACAACCAAAGAAAAAAAGTAGGGCAAGCTAATGAAACACTTGCAAGAGTTAGAAATAGGATTAAAAATCATAGGTTTTAGCCACAGTCATGACTGTGGAGGGAAATGGAACTGAATAAGAGTCAGTGAAATCTCCAGGGGAACTGCAGAACCAGTACACGAGGGAAGAGGAAAGGGAGAGGGTGAGAGTATGTGCAGGGGCAGGTGATAAAAGGATTATGTTTCATACAGTAAGAAAAAGGATCAGCATGTGAAGAACCAGTAAATATCTGAGTCAAAGCAGATGCACTTCAGCTGGAGAAGGTACAGCACTAGCCCAGTGGCTCTTTGCTAGCCTCCCTTCTGGCCATCTGGGAGAGCAAATTTAACAAAGACTCTTGCCTGCAGGCACACCTGAAACATGGGTGAGATGACAACAGCCAGTTCAGTAATTGCCAGTTGTCCAGAACAGGTCTCAGAAAGAATTTGAGACATTTCCAGAGAATTACAAATGCTAATGTCAATCTGTAAAAGAACTTGCCTCAGCATCCTGAGTGCAAAGACAAGGTCTTCTCTCCTGTGCAGATCTTTCTTCTGGCCACGTTCCCAGGCTGGCCCTCTCCAGCAGGTGTCACACTGGCTCTCTGCTCCCAAGGGATCCTTGTCTGAGTCCCACCCCTGCTCGATGCCATTTGCTGGCACAGAGCAGCAAACCCCCCTCTTTCACTGCCCCTCACTTTTGCCCAGATCTTCTCCAAAAGACTCTTTCAATGAGCAAGAGGGCCCTGCCTTCCTTACCCTGCATCCTTCAGGGTATCCTTCAGACATCACCCTTGTCTCTGCTACTTTCTGCCATAATGGGGAGCCAGCTGTGGTTTTTCTCTGTGGCCACAGAGACCAGGCAGCTGCCCCTGCTACAGTCCCTGCTAAGATGTCTCTGAAGTGCCCTCCTTCTAATTCCTCCACAGGATATTCTGCATCTGCCACTGCAACGAGGAGCTTAAGGGTTGAAAAAATACTTATTTTTTGGTTACATGATGATATTTTATCCTGGAAATGACTAATGTATAGCTCTAAGATTATGTATTTATTATGCAACAAGAGAAAAAAAAATAGGGTAGTACAGAAGAGGCTGTTCCTGTTTTAAGCATGCGTAGACAGGTATTTACAAGGAATGAATGAACAATGGTAGCAGAGGAGCTATTGCTGATTAGATTCAATATAAATAGCTTTGGACTAATCCTCTGCTAGCATTTTCCATGTGCTCTTTCTGTGCTCAACCACAGCTCACGGTACGCCAATAACTGAGTGACTGCTCAATATGAATAGGACAAGAAAATGGAACCCCACTCAGATAAGATTAGGATTTTACATAATCCAACTTTCACATCCCCTCACCCCAACAGGATTTGCAAATTTGATTTCTGTTACCATTCACCAGGGAGAAATTTCAGTCACAGTAAGTGAGGGACTCCAGGTAATAAATATCACTGGACTGAAGATAAAGGAACTTTTCATCCTTGAGTAATGAAACTAAAGGAGCTTTTCAGCCAAAGTACCACAGAGCTCATTACATCAGGTATGAGAGGAAAAAACCAAACAATTGTTGGGGTGGTCAAAAAACCATTTCAGGCCAGAACAGCTCACTTGTTAATTGTAGAAATCAACAAGTAATTAAAATGCAGAGATGTCAGGAAGTGTTCTCTGAACCAGAAATCAGCAAGCTCATTTGACCCTGCTGCCATTTGCATAATGCAACTCATTTTGTAGGCATTAATTTACAGGATTCAGTCAAAAATGGCTAGTGATAAAAATAGCTACAGTTCTTATGCCACACCATACTTGCCAATAAGATATAGATCCTTTGGATTTGCAATGGCCATGAATTTCCATTTTGTCACCTTCTTCAGCCAGGTTGGGTTTCAGATATGGAAGCAGAAATGAGGTGACATTAGCACTGAGGGTCAGCTCTGTGAGAACTGTTGGGTCTCACGCTTTATCCCTTCACGGATTAAAGATCTGACCCCGCCGTACGTTACAGAAACACGTCAAATGGGAGCGGGGTCTTCCATGTGTGTGTGCAGGGACTCTTATCATCCTCAACACGTCTGTTTAAACTCTTTCATTTCCACTTAAGGCACAATTCGATCCGAAGACAGCTCAACCTCTCCAACCCAGACTTCAACATCCAGCAGGTTCAGAAACAAGAGCAGCTGACGGGGATCGGCCGCATTAAGCCAGAGCTGTACAAGCAAAGATCAGTGGACACGGACGATGGCCGCAGGAGTAACAGCAAGGCGTGTGGAAAACTGAACTTTATTCTCAAATATGATTGTGATTTAGAGCAGCTGATAGTGAAGATTCACAAGGCCATCAACCTGCCAGCAAAGGACTTCTCTGGAACTTCAGATCCGTACGTGAAGATATATCTGCTTCCTGACAGGAAAACAAAACACCAGACTAAAGTGCACAGAAAGACCCTAAATCCAGTATTTGATGAAGTTTTTTTATTTACTGTTCCATACAATGATCTGAACACAAGGAAACTCCATTTCTCTGTATATGACTTTGACAGATTCTCCAGGCATGACTTGATTGGCCAAGTGGTAGTGGATAATTTTTTAGATTTGGCAGATTTTCCCAGGGAATGTAATATTTGGAAGGATATTGAATATGTCACCAATGTAAGTATTACAGTTTTTCTTTTTGAATTTTTTTTTTTCTGATTTCATTTCCTTGACGTGATTATAACTGAAATTGTCTGTTAAATTTACGAAGGAAAATATTCTCTCTCTTTCTCAGGCTTTGACCTTAATCCAAGGAAAATGACAGTACATTTTCAGTCCTAATTTCTTGTTCTTTGGATATATTAAAGCATGTTTTATGTAGGATATAGTGGGTTTAGTCATTGTGCTGATGATAGGGTAGTAATGCTGAAGGATGTTCTTCTCTTAATCTTACTTAATCTAAAACTTATTCAAGGAAATACTACTCCTCTTACTTTGCCTATTTTTCTGTGTTCTGCATGATTTTTCATGTAAATTACACCATACTGATTAGCTAGAACTGGAGATTCAACATTCTTTATGTAGTGATTTTCAATCCTTCAAAAGGCTATATTCTCATAAATTCAGACAGCCCCCCCAGCTATAATCCAGTCAAAGAGAGTTCAGACAATACTGTTCCATGAAAGCAGTGAAACACCCTGAATTGGTTTAACTCTTTGTTTGGCATCGTTTTGTTCTTAGGGAAATGGGAAACTTGTAAAGTAAATCTCTTTTTCTGTTATCCCAAAGTCTCTGGTATCAAATTCTGAGCAGGAGTCAAACAGTGATTAGATACAAAACCACAGAAATTACTTCTGAAAAGGAAATCTTCTCAGAGCAGGAGCCAACCTCCTTCTAATGCCACTGGAAATGAATCCTGCCCATCCTCCAGAGAAGAGACCTTCAGTGAGAATGATACATTACAGAAATCCACAGAGGTGAAGGTACCAGTGCCAAGTGTCAGTAAATAGTTCATTTGCTGTGTCAAACCACTCTCAAATAGAGTGCACATTTTAGAGTCAAATGAACCAAACATCATTAACAGTAAGATCAAAGTGTAACTTTGTTAGACCTCAGTTCAAGAAAGCATTTAAGAATATGCTTAGCTGAGAATAAGAAGCCATTAAAAAGTAAAGGATGTTCTGAGACAAATAACTTTCCTGAATTCAACTCCTCATCATATACGTCTGTGGTCTGTTACTATGCCTGTGTTACAGACCAAATTGCTTAAATCCATTTTTTTTGTTTGGAATTTCTTTTTGAAAATGGATATTTCCCTTGTTTTAAGGTGATTTCTCAGCCTTCTTGGTCAGTGTGTGTGGAACGTGCACTCACTGCACAGTCCTGTCCCACACAAGGATGGAAGTGCAGCAGCAGCACGAGCAGCTCCTCACTTGGGATACAGGCAGGGCCTTGGTGTCAGAGAGGAGGAACCTGGCTTTTGTGTGAGGAGTTATTGCTTTTCAACCACAAGGGAAAAGTAAGGATGTGACAGAGCAGTTGACAGTCATTCCAAGTGAAAGACTGTCTTCATGCAGCATTAAGTGTCTCAAGATCAACTTCATTTTTTACTGTAAACTGAAAGCTGAATGCACAGGCACACTGGAGTTACTCTGATATGTACCAGTCCTTTTGCCCTGCTTTGACTCAGGCAGAAGGTTTGCTCTGGTGTTTTCTTTAGAATCACTTCTCCTTCCAAATTTCAAAAGCGATGCAGCGTGTCATTTGTATTCAGATTTTCTGTAATCTCTGAAATTAAATTCAGGACTGAAACATGAGTCATTTATTAATTCCTACTGATACTAATTCCTGTGAGAAGCGTAACCCTGTTTATCCAAACAGAACACACGACCTGCCATCTAGACTTGTCACTGGGTTTCCAGCTAGCAGAGACCTTTTCAAAGCAAGTGACTCACAGTACATAGGAGACACATCCAATTTCGGGTAATGTGAGTTCTGAGATAAAAGTATCAGATAAATGAAAGTGTGGAGTACTCAGCTTACCAATTAACATTTCCAAAATTTCAAAGGTTAGAACTCACTCCGTAAAGTTATGAGAAACCCTCCACGCATCATTTAAGAAACCGAGTTTCAGCCCATTTCCTTGTCTGTGTAGCTCAGATATCTCTCAGAGTGACAGCAGAAGCTGAATCCTGCGGGCTACTCGTGAAGCTGCTGCAGTGGATACTGCTGTGGCTGCACTCCAAGCCAGCAGGCAGCATTAGTGAACCCCAGAAAGAAATTTCGGCAAAGTTTTGAGCACCATGGGGAGGTTTATGGTCGCAAACCAAAACTATATCAAGAGTCACAGGTTTTCAATGATTTTATATTTGAATGCCTCGTTGTCTCAAATAATAATAATACTGGAGAACAGACAAATTCTTGGCAAAATTACTGAAGGAAATTCAGTTAATGTAGATCAACAAAGAGTGCACACAGGAAGGATAAACCAAGGAAAGATGAGACAAAGGGAAGCTCCACACAAACTACACATGACAAGTTTGACATAATTCTAAAGAGTACATTCATTTTAATTCCTCGTGCATCTTATTGCACTGCATAACCAGTGAGCCCAAAGGCCTTTATTTTACATTCTTCATTTTATTATGTTCTAATCCAATTTGACACAGTAATATAAAAGAATGTATCAAATCCTTCTCTGCCCAGCAAAAAATGTCCTACTTCAAGTGAGCACTGCAGATTATGCCTGAAATGTCAGATTTACTGCAAACAATGCCATTAAACTGACCTATTATGCCATGTGCTTTCTTCTGTTTTCTAATAACACTGAAAGATTTTTTTTAATCCCAAACCAGCAGTTTTCATTCCTTAGACAATAACATCTGTTACCATCCCAGAGTTAAAGAGAAATTATTTCATAACACAGATGCATGTCAGCATAATTTTTTTTTACATGCTTAAAAGCAATCTGCTGCCAAACATGAATCTCCAATATCAAAATGATTGTTATTCTAATCCCAGGTCCTCTGAACATAAAATCTCTCTCCTGTAACACTGACACTTTCTCCAAGCAGAAAAAAAAGGCATCAATGGGCTGTATAATGGGAGAAATAATTAAGTGGATCAACTGTAGATGAACATGATATGAACTAGATAAGCTTTTTGAATATCTACCAGTCAGATTACACTGGTTTCTGGTTTATCAAGAAAAAAAAAAAAAGATGGTTTTTATTTTAGCCTGTGTTTCTCTTGTTGCCATGTTTTGTTTAAGAGCATCTAAAACATAATCAGGTTTGGGGTGGGGTTTTTTGTTTGCTTTTGTAATTTTCATGGACTGATGGCATGTTTGAAGAGAAAAAAAAGTGGTTAATATTTCCTTGGTTACCACCTTCAAACTCAGATGGGATCAGGAAAAAAAAAAGGCTTTGTCACAAAATAAAATGAAAAACTATGGAAGAAGAAGGTGTCAGATATGAAACAGGAAGGTGTCAGATAGTCTGTTTCAGATAAAGGAGAACCTTCTCTTTCAGAAGATGCCAAGAAGATCCACTGGTATAACTTGCTGTGCATCCAGAAAGGAAAATCCTTTTTGAAGAATTGCTTGTTAAACATCATCAGGCAGCTACAGGGCACAGAGAGGATTTCTGTGAGCTAGAAATCTAGCTCTGGTTCATACTGGATGTTTCAGTTCTCAAAGTGCTCAGCCTTTGGCACTTACTAAGCAGGTGATCCTTCTAGAGAGGAGTATTTAAAACTGGCCTCAACTTAGAGCAGGGGGGTAATCAGAGTAAGAAAGAACAATATAAATTTCTACTCTTAACTGGGCCAGCATTTTCCAAAATGACTGGTCATTTTAAGAGGCAATTTTCTGACTTTGTTATAGTACATATAGCTTCTACCACTGATGCTATTTTTTAGTTGTCAGATATAGTTATGTTTAATATCTAGGCATGGTACAGTGAAAACTGCTCTTTTTATGAATGTCTAACTTTATATATACACTTAAAAAAACACCCCTTATTCATAACACCCCATGGGCACCTTTCTCTCATCTTACCTTGAGTTTGTGAATATTTCTGTAACATTCTTTCCTGAAAGGATATTTACAACAAGATTTGAGTGATTATGTACCTAATATTCTCTAAAATGTAGCTGCCTGATTGACAGCTACAATTTATCCTTATCTGTGACTCCTTTGAGGCTCTTTGGGGTGTGCAACTTCTGTGAAGGCATGAAGTAAATTGAAAGCCTGTTAAAGGTAGAAAGCAGTTGCTCACATTCAAACCATGGTTTTTTCTTTACCTGCAAACAACTGGAGGACTAGGAAGGATTCAAAGGGTTACTCTGTTTTGAATATGACTATCTTGAAGTACTTCACTGGTTTCTAGCAAAGCATTGACGAGTGTAGCATCCAGCCACCAAAGTTATAAAACAATAGATCAGGGTACGAAAGGAGAGTGAAAATAGAGAAGGAAATATTTCTGAAACTGAGAGGAGATTACAGGAAGAAGGCCCTGGGTAATACATATAGAATTTGAGAAGTAATATGCTGCAGACTTTCAGGTATGTGTATGGTTCACTGAAACCCAAAAGATAGTTGTGGATAGTTCAAAGCTGTGAAGAAACATGAGCTGTATATCAAGTTACTCACTCTGACATCCAGAAAGAGCCAGCATATGCTACAAGTTTTAAAGCCAAGAGATTGATTGCATCTCTTTGAAAGAATCTTCAAGCTTTTTTAGGGTCTGAGTAGTGGTCAAGAATACAGCAATGTGTCAGATAATGATGAATTAGTTCTACACAGAAGCAGGAAACAAAAACATATTTAAAAAATAATGAATTTAGGATGTATATTGATATGCATGCTAGTGTTTTGACAAAGAAAGAGTTAAAAGTGGGATGGTTATAGGTATTTGAAATTCTGCATTTTAAAAATGCTAATTGTTCACTGCTGTTGTTCTCAAGTTTGCCCAAGAAAGAAAGATTTGAGATATTTGTATTTTTAGGCATTTATGTTGTATAACTGAGATGCAACTGGAATCAAAACATCACCACAAGGAATTTTCAAGTTCTCTGTTCCAGGGATGTTAATGCCAGTAACAGTATGTGTGGAAGAGAGACAAAAAGACACTGATTTTTTCAATCAGTTGATCAGTTGCATTGCCCAGAGCCAGGCT